CTAAGATCCTGTGAGACTTCCAGATCCAGATGGACAGGCAGGTACTGACCAATCAACCAGACATTGTGGTAGTAGACAAGAACAGAAGACAACGGTGGTGCTAGATGTAGTGGTGCCAAGTGATAGCAACGTCAAGAAGGAGTATGAGAAGCTGGAGAAGTACCAGGGCCTGAAGGCTAGAGAGGATGTGGAAAGTAAAGGCCAAGGTGGTCCCAGTGGTGGTAGGAGCACTCAGGGCTTTGACTCCTAAGCTGGGAGAGTGGCTCCAATAGATTCCAGGAACAACAACAGAGCTCTTTGTCCAGAAGAATGTAGTGCTAGGAACAGCTCAGATACTGCTCAGAACCCTCAAACTCCCAGGCCTCTGGTAGAGGACCCAAGATATGGGTGGTATGGGGTGAGAGGGGACTTTTTTTTTTTTTAAGTAGTCACCAAACCGTAGTTGGCAGGAAAAGCACACCAAAGTTCAATAACCTCACAAAAAGCTTTTCCTTCTCTCATTACTACAACTGCAGACAGCTGATTAAATTAACCAGGAGAATCCAAACAGCCAGGCTGGATCAAATGTCCCCCTGGGATCCTAATCACTCCTTTGCAAAGAGCATTAACACATTTCTTTGCCATCCTGCCCAATATATCCTGACAATAAACATTTCCACAGCATTATCTCGTTATCTGACCTTTCCTACCCATTTTACCATGAGGTCATTTTACTGATAATAAGATTACTTAATGATGTGTCAGTGATGAATATCAGATTGAAAGAATGAATTCAGTCTGTGGTGTGAATTCATCTTTGGGCAAATGAAGAACACAGTTATTTAACATAAAATACTATTCATATTTTCATGGATATATTTGGATATTGATACAGAGGGTGCGAATATGGCAAGCTGGGAAAACAACTAACACCACTTTTTAAAAATTAGCCATACATGTAATAGATTAAGGCTGTTCTGATGAATAATTTAAAATGTGTGAGAGCAAAATCCATATTTTATTTCTGTAAGTTAATTATTTTTAAGTAAGAAACATATTGCAGGAGAGCGGCACTATTTTAAAACATGAACATCTGACAATCTGCTTCTCTAGAAGTGCTAATGTAACTGAGGATATATTTTTTATCTCACATGCCAACAAACTGAGTTTCTAACACTGCTAAAATATAACTGCCCGTGTACTATTTAAAGAATAAGTATTAGCAATTTGTATTCGTATTTGACTGATAGCAGAATATGGCCCCATCCTTGGCTGTCAAGAATAAGTATTAGCAATTTGAATTAGTATTTGACTAATAGCAGAATATGGCCCCATCCTTGGCTGTCAGGCTTTTTTTCCACATCATTTCAAAGCAGCTAACCATATCATTTGACTAAGTGCACATTCACAATGTCATTTGCACAAAAGCAAAAGCTTGTCTGCCTCTCACAATCATTCAGCTTTTTCACCTTGTATTTTCATTCGGAGGTGATTCTTGTCTTGATACGGTTGCCGCAGCCGTTTTACATAGGCTCCATAAATACCAAATTATTTGTATGCTACACAAATCAGGCACCATCCTCCCTGCGGTGAATGTTATCATGGGCATGAACAGAGTATCTAATGACATGAATCTCACTGCCCAAGCTGTATGCTTCTGGAATGAAATCTAACCTAAAAGTGCTAAAGACTGCTGCAGACTCTGAATAAGTTTGCAATATTTCTTCAATTTCTGTTGAAATACATCTTTTGAAATAAAACAAGGAGAGAGTCAGAAAATATTTCAGTGTTCTCTTCTATTCAAAATAAGAACGCTGTTGGGGTCCAAAAACAATTCCATCAAAGTGTTTCTCTCAAGACTGGGTTCTGAAAATGCTCAAGTGAAATTACTTATTTTGTTTTTAGAAGGACATGCCCTATTAGCTTTTTTTTTTTAAAAAAAATGTTTGGTATTTCTGCAGATCCTGTGTTTTTCCAAACACGCTGATATTTCCCTCTTACTTTTCTGTGATTCAGCAATTCTTACCACCTGAGTTTGCTGACAGAAGAAATGATTTCAGTCTTTGAATATACTTTTTTATTTCAGTCAACCTCTTTGCAGATTATTGCATTTATGAGGTAGATACAGATCTATCAGTGATGTTTATTAACATTATAAATATTCAAGTTACATTCAAATATCATCCTGAATTTAGGGCTTTGTTTTTTTTTTTTTTCTGTGAAGGAACATTCATGCTTTAGATATTCTGTATTTTACGCTGTATTCATATATGGACTTTCTCCAGATTGTTACGTATTCAAATTCATTGCCATTTTTAGTTCATGCATTTTTCCCCTTATTTGTGAATTTTCCATTTTATTTATTTTGCAGTGCTTATAGAATGCTGGTCCAGTCAAAAGTGATTCTAATTCCCCCTCTGTGTGGGGATAAAACAAAAGCAAAATATATACCATACAAAATACAGTCTGTATAATCACATATCCAAGACCCTGGGAATAAATCACAATCAGCCCATACACAATTAAAGCAACTGCAATTGCTAGAGGCAAATGGGTTACCACTGAGCCTAAACACATGTGTATATGGATTAAATCACAGGGCAGAAAAGAAATGATGTGATTGCCTCAGGAGTGGGCTGCGACATTCATTTTAGAAATTCTCTAAGTTAAACTTCCAAGTGAATTCAGAACAATTAAAAATGGAAAGAGAGAGAAAAAAATGCTTTTTCTTAGAGCTGACTCATGCAATTGTTTAGACAGACTATTTTGGTGAATAGAATGGGAGCTAGATAAGTTTTTTTTCTCCTATACGTATAATCATATGCTCATAGAGTTTCTTTCTATATAACTTTCAGATTCAGAAATATTTTCCACCAGGATTGGATATAATGACAGTTATAGTAAAAACCTAAGCAAAAATAAACATCCAAAATAAAATAAAAATCCAAAATATAATAAAAGTAATTATTTTAAATTTTTAAAAATTTTTAAAAAATAAAATAAAAATCCAAAACTAAGTAGATGACAAAGCAACTCTGTTAATACTTTACTATCTGATCTTAGGACAATAGCAAAAATCAAACCTTCAATTTGCATCCAGGATGCATCACTTGCCACATACAAGTTCTGCATTTTCAGCTGGTTCCCAACAGATTTCTACAGATGAACTCTTTTGGACTCAGCTAAGTAAATACCAACTTTTGCTTTGAATATAGTCAATATAAATAACTGTAAAATGTAATAGGTGTAATAGGTAATAGTTTTAAAATCCCACTGATCTGTATGAGTGGGAAGTTGAGCATCTCTCTACCAATGTCCTGCTGAAATTCATGGATATGAAAGACTCACGGCAAGGTATATGAACGTTACAGCCCAATAAGATATGTTGGGATTTATGATAATGTACCTTGCTTTTAGGCAAACTTTTAGCTATTTGTACAGGTCAACTAATAAAATAATCACCTCGCAATTTATAAACAGAAAAAGAGCAGAGTTTCACTTTTGTCTTCTCAAATTAAAATGAGAGAGGAAGCATCCAGTCCAAGCACTGTACCTTGGCTGAGAGCCAGTCATATTATAAATCGTCAAAACTGTTAACAAAGCCTTTTTCTTTGAAGAAGATGTTAACTGGACAGAAAGTCCATCGAAGCTCCATAATAAAACAGAGGAATTTGTTTTCATTTAAAAGTGGCAGAAGCTAAGAAGCAGAGTTTTTTTTAATCATCTGTTAACAAGAATCCTTTCGTTGGGTTTTATACAATCATATCCACAGTTATCTGAGCAAGAATAAAACACTTCTGAATATAATATTTTTTCTTTAATCTTGTATAATTCACATCAGCAAGCATCCTATCATGCTGTGATGTCTTGTGCCAGTGACACTCAGTCTTTTATTTAAAATTACCACTGATATCTCCTTGAACAGCTGTATGTTCAATTTATCATCATACCTGCAGGATGATGCTCCCAAAAGCATTTTTCAGCAGATTTACTACATCAGCATGAGACAGACCATCCAGAGGCTGCCCGTTAATACTGACAATCCTATCACCAACCTATAAGTGGGAGAAAAAACAGAACAGAAATAGAAATGTTGGAAGTACCAACATGTCTTGCAAGTCTGGCATTACACACTCATGTTTCTTATTTATAAAAAGGCAAGAGCCCCATTCAGGCATTATAAAACCCAGCTACCACCAAACCCACATGAATTTGTCTCTAAGGCCAATGTCTCTTCTAAGGCAGGGAAGATACTATGGATGATGGCAATTCAGTGCTAATAGTCCATATGTGGGCCTTCTTGCCCCAAGTGGTTGAAAAAACTGGCCATTGAAAACATTTATTTTTAAGACAAACTGTTATTCATAATTGATTGATTGTTACCTCTGGCTTTGTTAACCTTGTTTTACTAATAGTGTATCATTATCTTTTTTCTTAGATCTGTTTCTATAATTTGTTAGCTGCTTTCAGCAACTCTTTTCTTATTTAAAGGGAAACATGGAGCCCACGTTTTTGTATAAATAAAATAAAAATACAAAAAAGAACTCCTGCTCCAATTTCACAATCCAGAAGCAAAGAGAAATCACTATAAATGGAAGAAGAGAATATTGGTGGCGTGTGAAAACACAATTTTTTCCTAGAGATACTTGGAGAACTGAAGATGCTAACCATAATTGCTATTTTTTTTTTCCTGAAAATCGTCCAGTCCCTTCTGAAATTGAAAGAAAATAAAGAAATAAAGTTCCTGCTTTTCCATGTTCCATTCCAGGCTGAAACAGGAAACCACATGACATGAGTTCACTGCCTTGACTGCAGAAAACATACTACTGAAATGAAATTTTCTGCAATTACTGCATAATACTCCCTGCAGTGGACAAAAGTGATGTTCTTTACCAGCAGTGGAAATGAAGCATCCTTCAAAGTTGGAAAAGGAAATGTTTTTCAGAATACCTTTTCCAGCAAGGTACAATCCTTGTAAACACACCCTTCGGAGGTAATAAAAACAGCAATGGCAACAAGAAAATAAAGCTAGTACTTATGTGTGTATCAGTCACTCTTTCACTTACTCGGAGTTTGTGTGTGCGTGCTGCCACTCCATTGGCTTGAATCATAGCAATGAAGATCGGAATATCTGCCAGGGGACTTCCCTTACCTCCAGCAATACTGATACCAAGAGCATCATTCAGACCCTTAACAAAGACAGCACAGTTATAAGAATCACTTATTCTGCCCAAATTTCAAATATATAACCTGTGCAGTTAGTGTCAATTTTGTAACAAATGCAATTAAGCAAGGACATGATGTGATATCTGATTTTCTACGTCTTGTTCAAAAATCCCATCTTCATCCCTCATATTTTTAAATTGTTTTAGTAACAATATTAAACATGTGCAAAGGAAGCATTTTTTTTTTTTTTTGGCATTCATTGAAAGCACTGTCATTTGCCGAACCATGAGATTTCAGTGATGTAATGCTAAAATCATTAAACAATATGCAGAACAAGAGATTCCTAATATGCAAGATATTTCTATAAATTCTTTCATTCATTTGCCTAGATTTGCAAATAGATCTGACCACTACAAATTCATTGTTTTACACACCGGACAGAATAAAATTCCTTTGCTAAATATATATGTATGTATGTATGTATGTATGTATGTATGTATGTATGAATATAAATATATTAAGTGAGAAGAAATGACTGACCCTTGTTATTTCCACGGTTCTTGGGCTTATGTCTGCTCCAACTGATAAAGAAATAAACAGAAAGGATAATGCTATCATGAGATTATGTTCTATATTTCAAAATTATCACTGAGCACAAATATTATTTATGCCCCCTTTCCCCAAACTGATGGCTTTCAGATGTATTTGGTCTACAACTTCTAGGATTCATAGTCAATATGGCCAATAGCAAAGTGGGCTGAAGCAGTCTTTAAGTCCTGGGAAACAAGATAATATTTGGAAGCCTCCCTGATTCACGGCGGTATAAGAAGGAGGGGATTTGCACAATCAGATTTGCAAGATTCTGTTATTACAGCCAATCTCAATAAAGCGTAGTCCTGGTCTTGAGCCAACTGAATAAGCACAAAATATCCAGTATAATTCACAGAGAGGTTAGTTTTTGTTCTGGCCCATACCTGAATTTCTCTGAGAAGGATCAGCAGATGATCTCTTAGTAGTGACAAAATTCTGCAAAGTGGAGATAACCGGAGCAAATGTAGGATAAAAGTGGCCATGGACATTATGTTGGCTCATCTGAAAATCCAAGACAAACCAGTAAGGCTCAAGTTAAAATGTGCAAGGTTATTCCATACATAATCCAGATGAGCTGTTTTCAGAGTTTCTCTCATTGGTTATAGCATCTATCTTTAGATCTGTTCATTAAATCATGGATGATACTTCTGTTATCTAAGATGCTATTAAGAATTTCTATATCACTATTGCTAACATTATACTTACACAAACACGCACACACCAGAATTTAAAACAGATTTAAAGAAAATGTATAGAAACATGCATGGAAAAATTCTAATTTGGCTATTTAGATGAGGGGAAGACGTACTGTGCCCCAGCCAATATGATGAAGAGTCAGGGATTGTGGCAACTGAGACTAAGAAAGTTGGAATTTATTTGCTGCACATCTAAGCCTCAGGGAAGAGGCTGGTATTAAATAGAGAAAATATTTTCCCTAGACTTTTTATTCCATCATATCTGGAGCCAGCTGCTAGGGCGGCAGAAACAAAACTCTACCTCTCTCTTAATGAAATAGATTTTCAAGCCACAGAGCACTAATCAAATGTCTGGATCAATGTTCCTCTGTGTGCCAAGAGAATTCATCAGCAGTAGCTCTCTGCATGCTGGAGAAAGACTAGCAAAGTGAAGAGTATACAAGGACTGGGCATGTTTAGTGGAATAGCTCAAGTAAGGCAAACAATAAATTGTGCATAAAAGTTTGGAAGCTGGGCACAGATTAGAGAATAATCCTAAACAGAAATGAGTACATCTGAGAAATAATATTGCTAAATTTTAAAATTTGTTTCTGGGTCCAATTCAAGGTCCTGGTGTTTTAACCTTTAAAGCCCTTCATGGCATGGGACTGGGTATCTGAGGGACTGCATCTCCCTGACTACATCAGCCTGCCCCATCAGATCTAACAGAGAAGGCATGTTGAGGGTACCATCAGCTAGAGATGTACATTTGGTGGGTCCCAGTTGTTGGGACTTCTCTTCTGTGGTGCCCGCCCTGAGGAACATTATTCCCCCTAATATTAGATTAGTTCCATCCCTTCTGACCTTCCAGAAGTCCCTCAAGACTTGGTTATGTCACCAGGCCTGGGGCTTCCAGGGAACTGGAGACATGCTCAGCTCCATTGCTGAGTTAGTTATCCTTATTCTCTCTTGCCTAGGGTTTGTATATTTGTTTTTTTTTTAATCATATTTATCTTTTAATATTTATTTTTATATTTTTATATCAATTTTTCATATATGTGTTGCTTTTATAGGATTGTTGTAAGCCATCCAGAGTCGCTTTTCTGTGAGATAGGCGACTATACAAATTTGATCAATAAAAGAAATAAATTAATAAAACAAATATCTCTGTGCCTTCCTGGCAAAATGTAGTTTGCTGAACAACTTTCTAGAATCAGAATAGAGCATACTGTGTTTCATTATTATCGAGGTGTTGACATATAATAGCTCGTTTTAATTGTTTCTCATGTCCTTCACTGCATATAAAATGGATGGTATGAGATGACTATTGTGGCTCCAAGTAGGCTGAAATTTAAGGTGAAAATTATTTTTTCCCAACATCTTTCTATAATTAATGATTTCATGAAAAGTCAAATATATGGTATCATTGCACAGAAATTATAAAAAAAAAAAAAATTAAAACAGGATTTTTCTGTCAGTTAAAGTACAGGTATTGTCTCAACAATTAAGATGGCTCTCAGATAATTAAAAATGTTGGATATAGATATATTTTTTGAGTTAAGGCTATAGCTAGATTCTAAAGTCTTATTCTTATGATCACACATGACAAGACAAACTATTTACAAATAAATTTTGGGATCCATTACTTTATCATGCTTTTTAATGCACTGTCATCTGCTACTAACCTGACTGTTTTGAGATGTCTTTCTTGAGGATAACCAAGATCCAGCCCTCAGTCGTCCAATCTCTAGCTGCACAAGACCTTGGGCACACTTGGATATAGAAAATACACAGTGTGCAGTATTTAACTTATAACTTATAACAAATATTCATTTTTATTGATGTCTCTCCAAAAGTCATACCTTTGAACAAACAATGAGCATTTAACACGCCCTAGTCCTCAGAAGAGTAGATCTCTTCCAATTTACTCCTTTTCTCTAGGTCATCAATAATAAACTCTATTAAAAGATCTTTTTAGATGTAGAAAATATATCTGGCATTGTAATCAATGGGGTGTTCTGTGTCAAAGGATTGCACAACTGAAAGTCATTCTTTAGCTGCATACATTGAGCTAAATCATGGTTTGTTTAATTACTGAACAATCCATATTGGCTTGGTTCACACACCATGGTATTCTATAAATAAGCTACATTATGGCTTAGTGTGATCTGCAACTGAGCTTGTCTTTTTATTTTATGAGGAATAACCAGAAAATTAAGTTTTTAAAGAAGGCAGTTTTTATATACTAAAGTATTATCATCTCACAGTAGGATTACATCATCTGCTCTTTTACAAAATACATATCTTTTAAAATAATTGTTAAAATATTTTACTGCCACTGTTTATTCCATACAAGTATAACTTTCAGTAGTGTGGATGCATGAAAACTGTCTCCAGTATCAAAAGATAGATTAAAAATAATTGCTGAAAAGCAGAATGTTATATTAGGTCTAAGTTTTTAATGTTTGCCTAGTCTTTAATGTTTGTGTTCTTGGCATGTGTATATATGTGTCTTTTGGGTCTGTGGCTGCGTGATAGATTTTTGCTGTGGATATAGCTTTTGTTGTATTATTAAATATTCCAGAATAAACATATATTCAACTAAATGCACAAATTGTTTATCTAAGAATTAGGTTACTATTCACTTGTTCTATATGATTTTCTTTCTTTCTTTAAAATACTTCTAAGTTTTCCAGGACTGAGACCTCATACACAAAAGAAATACAAATATATTAAGCACATCAGAAAACTGTACAATAATTCTGAGATAATCATTCTGAATCACACAGATCATTTACAGTCTTGGAGAAAGTTAGCACTAATGGCATTCAATGGCAAAATATAAAGTTGACCCATCTTCCTTCTCTCAGTAAAGGGACCAGAAGCATATTCAGTTTGAACTCTAAACTCTGATTATTCTTAGTAGGAACAGGCCACAACTGAAATGAACTTGGTTTACTTCCATTAACTATAGTTAAAATTAAATAGAGTGGAAAATTAAATTAACATTAAAAACTATATTTAAATCACAGCACACAAAACTGAAGCTCCCACCGTGCTTGTTTTTATAAGACTGAACTATGTTTGAACATTTTGGCTGAAGTTGGTATTTCCAAAGAATATTATATTTCACATACTTGTAACCACTGTTTAGAATTAAAGGCTATACTTCATGCTCACCTTAAGAATGGTAGCTACCATCTCTTGAGAAGCATGTCTGACATCCTCACCATTGACAGATAATATCTGATCTCCTTGAATTAGTCTCCCATCAAGGTCAGCAGCTCCTCCTTTGACAATGTCAGAGATAAACACGCCACTTCCATTCCTAACAATACAGGGAACATATGTACTGTATTATTAAACAACACAATTATAAATGCTATTTATCTGCAATTACACATTCTAAAAACAGAGACAGTTCGATATTTCCAGCCACAAACAAGGAATGTGAGAGTTTTCACTGCTGATTCTACTTTTCTAAGGACAATAAAATCTCTGGAAGCAATTGTTATTAATAGTCTTCTCAATCAGAAAACTCAGTAATCTATGCTAACTTACTGTACTATGCCAAATTATTCTGCTATATAGCTAAATTGTTATCATCAATAAATCTTCAGGTGAGAAGCAACCTTTATGAATTTACTTTTGCACACAAAACCATAATGTCATTTAAAAAAAAAAGATGATGATAAACACACGTCTTCCACTGAATTACTCATTTTAGGTCTCCTATCCCTGAACTGGTGAAATGCTAGTATAAGTACTATCATAGCACTTATAGTAAGTGCTATATAAATTATAGCACATTATGTAAGTTCTATAAATATAATGTAGCAGTAAGTGCCACCATGACACTTGTATGCCCTCTCTGTTTCTACTATGAGAATAATCTAACTATAATTCAGATCAACTATACTCCTTACCTTTTCCCCACAATGCTAAGTCCTAATCCTCTGCCCATTTTCCGTTGTAGATCTACATGGAAAATCTCCAAATTCTCTTCATCTTTATAATGAGCTTCATCTCTATAGACAACAAGCTGCACTTTTGGAGGAGTTTGCCGCAAGGCGGTGATAGCATCTTCATGAGTGGCGTTTCTCAAGTCTATGCCATTAACCTAAAATAAAATAAAACATTCTATTGGAAGTACAGTTTGCTTACTGGATTTTAATTAGCCTGGTAATATTGGTGTGTTATACCATAGGCAAATTAGGCATTTGCCTAGGGTCTCCGAAGAACAGGGCCCCCAAAATCATGTTTTTGGAAAACTGGTTCTGCCATTCCAGCATCTCTATCTGGCTGCACGCCCGCCTCTGGCAGGAGTCTCCAGCTTTCCCGATCAACAGGGATTTCCAGAAGCAACCTCTGGGGCCTCAGGTTAGCACGGCCTCCGTGTACACATGCCAACTCTTCCCTCCTGTGTTCCAGAGTTATTATTTCAATTTTTAATGGTCCAATGACCAATAGAAGATCCAACTGCAGGTGTGATTGGACCATACCATTTAGGCATACAAAAAGGGGAGTCTAAACGCAAAATCATACTGGTATATTTACATATGAATTATTAAATATCTATGTATGTAAAGTGATAGAATTATACTTCTCTGTGATTTATTGTGATTTGGTGTTTCTTTAATCATGTAAGTACATGCTTTTTAAATAAAAATGGTATTAATTGTAAAGATATTAACAATTTATTATTAACAATAAGATGTGTAATTAACAGGTAGACAATCATTAGTTGTAAATTGTTTAAATATTATTTGTGATACATTACTAGTGGAAATTAATGAACTTTGGGAACCCCTAAATTTTATTTTGTCTATGGTCCCACGCAGGCATAACACTCCACTGTCTGGTAATATTTCAAAATAATTTAAAATGTTTATTGTCTGAAGAAGTCATGCATATCAGGAAAACTCACAGAATAATAAATTAGAAGTGTGGTAGCACTTTTTTCTGGCTAACACATTTTTTTATGAACACTTATGATTTTTAATAAAATTAGTTGGAAAAGGTGCTACCAGACTTCTTTTGATTTTTTGTGGCCCCAAATTATATAGTCAAAAAGTGTTACATTGACCCAGTGCAGAATACCAGAAATTCTGCCAATTCACATGAAAGATAAAATCATGGTTAAACATTCTGAGAAGGCAGTTTTCAACTGTCCCCTTCTGATCCATGTAGGGATTGGAAGTTTATTCAGTTTGAACGATAAAGTCTGATTAATCTTAGTAGGAACATGCTAGGACTGAAAAGATGAACTTGCTTTATTTTGATTAACTATGGTTATGATTAATGTTTATAATTATTAAACTAACATACAAATTATACTTAAACCATAGTTCACACACTGGAAGCTCTGAAACCAGGTTTGGTTTTTTAAGATTCTACTATGGTTGAGTACTGTGGTTTAGCCAGTACTTACTCATAAATATTGTTTAGTATAACTTATTACCCTAAAATAACTCATAGGCTCTCTCTGTTTATATTTTACAATATATCTGAAGCATAATTAAATATGCTTTTTAAATAAATGAATATATCCATTCTTACTTTCTGATAAAATAACTTGAAAATGTACATTTCCCAAAATCCTTAGAGCAAAGCATGATGAAAACTCAGCTTCTGTATATTGTTTGAAGGACTAACACACTAACAAGTGTTTCCTCAGATGTAAGGTCTACTAAGTTCAGTAAGGTTTATTCATAGGTAAATAGATGTAGTACTGCTGCCTGAACCTGGTATTTTGTATGCATAATAAAGTTCTACCTGATTCTGGATTTTTCTCTGCTATTTTTTTTTAATTCACAATTCTATTCTCTGAAAGCAAAATAATATTTTTCTATATTCCAATAGATGGCACACCACACCACAACAAAGCATAAGTTGGTCTTAAAACAAATATTAATGTTAAATTGTAAAGAGAGCTAGAACACTGCTTGCATGAACATCATGGCCAGATAAAAATCTCTTTGGGTTTTAATTACAACTACAGCAACTTGAAACACGTACTCTAATATAGTTCCTGGAAAAGGTCTGCTATTGATATTAATCTCTATCAAAGCACTTTTCATATGCAAGGGCCCCCTTTTTTTTAGCCTTCCCTCAACTTCTATATTATGATCAAATCTAATCATCTTGCAAAACATTGCCTTGAAAATGGGAAGCAGTAGTATATTGGTGAAAGCCATTTTGGTGTAGTGATTAAAGAGAGTGAACTGAAAACCAGAAGACAATTAGTTATAGCCCTTTCTTGTGCATAAAGCTAGCTGGGTGCCTTCAGGCCAGTCATTCTCACTCAGCCCTGGGAAAAAGGCAATGACAAATAATTTCTTAAAAATATTGCCAAGAAAACTTCATGGACTTGTCCATATCGTTGCCAGGAGTGAAGATTGATTTGAAGGCACCCGCTCCCCTAAGTATATTTGTATTGTATTGTATTGTATTGTATTGTATTGTATTGTATTGTATTGTATTGTATTG